CAGGACAGGGCAAGGCAGTTTGTGCAACTGGAGAATGGTTTTGGCTGTGGACCTGTGTAACACAGGTCAAATTCATGTCCTGCTGATGCAACACTTGACCTTAATATAAGTTTATTTGCACCGAAGGTAGACACTGACTCACGGGAGTGCAACTCTTAGGCCAGCTGTAAACCTGCTCAAACAAGGGTCCTCACACCATGGAGATTTTGGGAAGTATCTCTCAGGATTTTCTCTATGTCACCTTGGCTTATAGCTTACCAAAGGAGGACAAAACACTGCTATGTAGAGATACTTCGGTTTCAGTCACAGGTTTGGAAGTGGCTCTCCTTGGAAAGTTTGCTCTGCATCTACCTTCAAGGATCATTTCTTTCATGATTTCATAGGAATTGAATCCTTGAAATTCCAGCCTGTAGGTGATGTTGGAAAGTGACCTATAAATCTCCAGCTCAAACTGCATTGAATATGTGTGTGAGTGGAGGGAGATGTGATGAAATGATCATAGATCCAAAACACATGATCTATGGCATATTCCACCTGGTCCATTTCTGCATACATTAAATGTGTTCACCCGAAGCTCCACTGCATATTCCCCACAGTTCCTGCTGGTGCTGCCCACCATGTTCACAGGGGAACAGCTCTATGAATATGCTGTCCCAGTGGCCACTGAATAGTGACCATATTCTGTATTATGATGGAGTCCTACCAGACCTGAATTCTAAGGCAGAAGAAAATGAATATTTATGACAAGGAAAATATTGTTTTGTTCTAATTTTGTGATGAAGCAATCTTTCTAGCATGCAAAATTAGTGATGAGTGAATAAATACAAGCTGTGTTTTTAATTGGAAATAGCCTAAAGATGTGACACAGTAATGTAAAGAAATATTGCAGATAAGCATTGTGTAAAATCATGACACAAAATATTGCTAACATGCTTGTCCCAGCAACAATACTTTAAAGCAATACAGTAGGATGTTGAAAGTTAAAAGCAACAGCAGTTAGCAAACATTTTAAAAAAATATAATATACAGAATTCCAAGTGTTAATGTATCAGTGATGAATATAGTAGAGCAATATGGCAGAAAACATAGAATACTGGGTGTTTCTGCCTTTGTAGGAGAAAGTAAGGGAGATCATGGATGTCATGTTTTTAACACACATGCAGTCAATATAAGTGATGTCTCCTTGAATTTTAGCTCACCAAACACTTTTAGAAAATCTAACTTCCCAGAAACCTGCATAAGGCTCATCTTATAAATGTAACTTCCTACACAGAAGTCATGTATTCTTAGTATCAGAATTCAGATTGAGTATAGCAAGGTCAGATCTCAGTCCACATCTGATATTGTCCATCTTTCTTACCCCATACTCCTAATATCCACTCCATTTCTCACAAGAGTCCTTGCACAGACCACAGGTAGAGGGTCTTGAAATATGGGTCCTGAGAAGGCCCACCAGCCTTTCACAGGGGTCTGCAGGAGCCACAAAATGAACTACACCTGTGTTCCAGGTACATGGCTGAGCCTTAGAATATACATTACAGGGGTCAAAAGCAACATTTTCTGAATGAACAAGGAAAATGGGAGAGTAAAGAATGCGTCCTTGTCTAAGAAAAACAGTGTAATTGAATTCTTCACAAGCCTGATATGCACAGTTCTACAGAAGGAGTTGGGGATGATTTCCGACTGTTAGAGTTTAAGAGTTAGTGTTTCTCTTCTCCTCACTCTTATTCACCACATGAATCCTAATCTCTGTCCTAATCAGGATCCCACTGAGTCTACCCAGAGTCTCAAGGGTAAAGTCACCATGTTCCCTTCAGTTTCCTCAGAATCTGTTCCTGAAGACCCCAGCAGTCATTGCTTCATCCCAAGGTGATGTTCTAGTCCTGTGTCCCATTCATGTCTGTGTTTGCCTTACCCATTTTCTGAGGAGGTTTTAATTGACTGTAGCTGTTTAAACTGAAGCCACTTAAGTCACCATTTCTCTTTTTCTTTTGAATATAGCATCTTCACAAAATGTTCTTTACCAGAAGAACAAGCACATGAGTTAGTGACATATACAGATGTTCTGAGCATTCATACCATCATGGGGCAAACCACTTTCAATACCAGTCTGTCTCTGCTATTAGTTCTCCCTGTGGTACTTACAGAACAGCAGTGTAAATAAGGGTAAGAATGTGTGTATAAGTATATTTAAGCAGGGATGTAGTTTCATGCTGTGTGAGTGTAAGTAATAGTTGAAACATATATTCTGTGCTGTGTGGGGGAATTACACTGTGTGGTGGAGGAGAAAGGATCTCAGCAAGACAAGTCCTGTGTCCTTCACTGCTCCAAGAATTTACTTTTCTGTTGTCTATTGTAAAAAGTCTGTACATATGTGACATGTTGTCTACTCAGTTTCTTTTTTTTTCATTTTTCTTTTATTATTCATATGTGCATACAAGGCTTGGTTCACTTCTCCCCCCTGCCCCAACCCCCTCCCTTACCACCCACTCCGCCCCTTCCCTCTCCCCCCACCTCAATACCCAGCAGAATATCTACTCAGTTTCTTAAGCAACACAAATCTGAAATGACATCATTTTCAATAACCTGAGTCATTTTCTTTAGCATTTTGCCTGAAGACATGTGGCTTTGTTTCCCCACAGTAAATTACACGGATTTAATTTCCATTTATTTATAAATAAAGCTGTAGATTCAGCTTTTCAGGTAAGTAAAATGCAAAGGTGTCCATGAAGAAGATTGAACACAGTTGATTTTAGCAATTAACCTTTCATAACTTTACAATCTTCTCTAGTTTCACCATGAAGCAATTCAAATGTGGAAAATAAAATAATTTTTTCTTTTCAAAGGAAGAACAGCAAAATTAGATCCTGATTCTTCATTTAAATGTAAATCAGTCAAGAAATTCACCTCTGGGTTTCATTACTTATTAATACTACTAACAATAACAGTGAGAATGTCTGCAAATAACCACAGAAATTAGATTGAAAGCATCCAATGAACTTCCCTTCACCTCACACATGGAAAAACACACATAAACCAATTTATGCTTCTTAACTAGCAGTATTTATTTCTCTCATTGAACTATTCCCCTGTTTAGTATTTCTATGGTTTTATGGCATTGTTCTTGAATATATTGCATTGTCTTCCTTACTTCACTCAGCTATCTGTTTTTTCTTTGAAGTCATTCAGGTGTTCATACATGCCATCTTTAATTCCTCTGGTCTTTCTTATTCTTCACCTTTACTTGTACCTATTCTTATGAGTTCCTATCTTTAGAGGGGTCTTGGTGCCTGTTTGTTTCATAATTCTTTTGTTTCTTTATTAGGATTTTCACAGTGAGTGGCTAGGAGTTTCAAACTCCTGTGAAGTTTAATTTCAATTACTGAAAATGATCTGGCAGGAGTTTCTAGTGTCATGGTTGATGTTAAGTTCTGCACCACTGACCTACAGTTGAAGCTCACTAGAAATGTCATTCAGTTGCTCAGGGTACTGGACTGTATCCCCAGCCACAATAAGATACAGAGAAACTTGTTTGGTATCCTGTACACTGTTGTGCATAACTTGGTTTTTAATTCTGTTTGAGGTTAGGGCAGGTCAAGGTCAGTTGTCCACATATGTGCTGTTGACATATTAGAAGATCCTCTTCTTTTTAATTGGACCCACTGCTAGCTTTAAGAAGCCTTGCAGCCTATGGGGGGTGGAGGTTCTCACTGATCCATGGGCCTTGAAGCAACCAAGCTTGTACACTGGTGGTAGAGAAGTGGGGGACTTAGTGCCCTGCCTACTGCTCTAAGTGTTTTCAGATGAATTCCAGACATTCCTTCACATTTCAGTGAGGGGCAGCATGGATATCACATTGTTCACAGGTCATAGGATTAGAGTTCTAAGCACAGCCTGACTGAAAATACCCAAGGTTGTAGGCAGCTCTGGGAGCCCAGTCTTGGACTCCTCCCAATGGTTCCAAAATCCTCCTGAGGAAAGGGACAGGGTTAATCTGGTAGTTCTCAGGGCCTGTGCCCTGAACTCTCAATACACTTGACAGCAAACACCTACAGTTGTCACACAGATCCTGGAGGTCAAACTTTCTCTGAACCTCAGGCCTGGGGCTCTGTTCCACAGTGATCCTTGGGTGAGGGTACTTGTTACCAGCCAAGAGAGGTGTGGACTCCAACTATGAAGCCCTTCACTACGGGAGCTCCTTAATATTTTAACATCTCAGTGGCCAATGTCAGAACCTCTTACTCTCCACTAGCCCTTCTGATGATCATCTCCCTCTCAGACCCTGAAACAAGGTGTCCCAAGATGCTCTGACGAGAAACATACTTAATTTTTAAGTCTCTAGTTCAGTTCAGTCTCAAAGAGTAGGCTGTCTCACAATATGGTGCCTTGCCATACATTTTCATGATATGGGGAGTAAAAATATGTGATGCTATCTTGTCATCCAGGGGAAGTCACTGGCACGCCAAATTGCATGAATGGGTTTAAGGATTGGGTAAAGTGAGGGCTCGTCTCAAGGTCTGCCACACTCTCACCAAAGTCACTTCACAGACTCTGTGACTGAGGTGTTGGATCCCTCCACCTTGGCGTGGAGCTGGGCTGGACCTGCAGCCTATTTCCTACTTTACTTTGTGACATTCTGTTTTCCCAATTTCCAGGTGCCCTGTCCCTATCTGAAAGATCCTGACGTTCATCCTCTGTTTCTCTCTGCAGAATACAGTCTCTCCTCTGTTGTCCTGACTCTTCTCACTCACAGAATCAAATACAGAAAGCTTCAATTATGCAATCATTCCTTGTTTCTAGTTCTGCTGTTTTCATAAACAGTATTGTAATTTATTAAGAAAATAAGAACAGATCTATCATTTGATCTAGCAATCCTAGGTACATATGAAAGATTTGTAATCTGAGTATAGTAGCAATGCATACTTATAGAAACATTTTTCACAACCCCCAGGTGTCAATCAGTGAATGTGTGGAGGAAGAAAATGTGTAATATGTAAAAAATAATACATTAATTATCTAGAAAGAATGACTTCTTATCATTTTGGCAATGAGTATGTTACATGACAGTAAAGCACAGGTGAAGTAAGCAATAGTGAAAACATAGATATAACACATAATGTCCATCATGTGCAGAAGATAAAAACGGATCCTATAAAAGGAGGGAGAGGAACAGAGGTCACTAGAGACTGGGAAAGATGGAGGAGGAGATGGAGCAAAGGGGATGGCTTCCAAATACGGTTAGGAATAAATCATTCTAGTGTTTCAAAGCACAGTGCAGTCACTGTATTTTACAACAATGTGTTATGTACTTTGAAGTAACAGGAGAAGGAGGATATTCATGTTTCCAACTAACATAAATGATAAATTTTAGAAGATATGGATATGTGTTTCTTATCTTTTCACTACACATGCTGTGCATGTATTAAATATTACAATATCTGTTAAATATTATGTTTCAGTTTAAAGCTACATAATGAGACTGTAGGAATAGCTCAGAAGCAGAGCACATGACTGGCATGCATGAGACCTGGGCTCAAACTTCACTGCAAAAATTAAAGAAATAGATAAATGAATCAATAAGTTATTAGCAGTGTGGCATACAGCTTCCATAGTGAGTGTAACAGTTTGTGTTCAAAACCAGTACTGCAGAAATATTTAAAAATAACATAAATTATTCAATTAACTTAATTAAATTTCAAACTTGTGTCTTTGTAAGAGATTGAATCCACATTCTAAGCAATGTTGGCAATCTAAATCCAATCATTTGTAAAATATAATCTCATATACATCAGTACAATTTGTCCAGGTAATGCAAAATATATTCAGAATTCAAATGTGAAATATCTAATTCATATGAGAATGTGCAATGTTTTATAATCATACAGACACCCTTAAGTAAGAAAATAAAAGTTTCCATAAATAAAGAATGTTAAATTTATTGGGAAATGATTGAACACATCCATCATTGATCAGGAATGATGTTAATATGTGAGCCAGCATAAATTAGGAAAAGATTTTCAACGTGGCAAAGAAATAGAAATAGACTTATAAGAAAGTCCTCATTATTCATCTGTATAATCACTGTTAAGTAATAATAATTCACTGAGGAATCTATAATTTCAATAAGGTTATTGGAAGCTGGACACATGCAAGAAGTGAACAACACTCAATTTGTATATAGTAGGAGGACAAAGTGAAAATAAAAGTAGAAGAAGGTTGACACTACTTGTTGCTATGATAATGAATTATTATTAGTGAGATTCCTTCTCAACAATCAACCTGGGAATGGGGATGTGTTCCAGTGGTCTCAGCTCCATGTGAAGCATATGTAGGATGATCACAAGGTAAAACCCATATATACCACAAATATGAGACTCTGTGTAATAATTATCTCAAACAAAAATAATCTGATGTGACTGGAGTGGTAGAGAAATTGCCTAGGAAGCACATGACTGAGTTCATACAGCACTACCACCAAACAGAAAAAATAGAAAAGAATTATTTCTAGTGATCTGAACAGACTTAACTGACAGAATCACTGACTGTGAATGGTAGGAGCTGGCTGGGTAGGAACCAGAGCTTCAGGAAGAAAAGTTCATGTGTATCTGCTCCTAACATTGGGACTGAAGCTGTGCTGGCTCTGAGCTGAGCGCCCCCTGCTGGCCCTGAGTGCACTTGCAAGGAGGTTTGTGTCTGGGCTCACACTGATGTCCCCTCGCTGTGTCTCTTGAACAGTAATACACAGCTGTGTCCTCTGTGGTCAAAGAGCTGAGCTGCAGGGAAAACTGGTTCTTGGACGTGTCTCTGGTGATGGAGATTCGGCTCTTGAGGGATGGACTGTAGTTAGTGCTTCCACCAGAAGTTATGTACCCAATCCACTGCAGGCTCTTCCCAGGAGGCTGGCGGACCCAGCTCCAGACATAGTTACCACTGGTAATGGAATAACCAGAGACTGTACAAGTGAGGGACAAGGTCTCCAAGGGCTTCACCAGGCCAGGTCCTGACTCCTTCAGCTGCACCTGTGACAGGACACCTGGGAACAAGAAGAATCATTTTGATCAGTCACCAGCAGTCATCATCTTCCCATAGACCCACATGTGAACTTGAGGATACTCACATTGGGGAGCTGTCACCAGGCACAGTAGAAGACCCAATGGTCTCATCTTCTGGACCACTGTCCTGCCTTCCCCAGAGACCTCAGTCCTGTGTGAGGAGAGAGCTTTGAGCTCCTCCAGGCCTGGGGTGTAATTTAACCTAGAGCCTGAATAATAATTTGCATGAGGGACATCTTCTTGTTGTAAATGGGGATGGATTGAAGTCAGAGCAACCTGGATCCAATGTGGCCTGTGAGTAATATCTGATCTAAAACTCAAGAGGTGTCTACATTCAATATATGTGATACCTGGTTTTAGAGGATTGTGGAAGCTGATCTCAACTTTGCTAGACATAACTTCTGTTTTCCATGACCAGCTTAGTCCTCTCTCCACTCAGGTTTTAGTTTTCATCCTTTAAGCTTATTACAGCAGAACTCCTCTTTTTTTCCAGTGTTCCCTCTACTGTGTATTATACACAATTGCTGTGGGAACCTGTTACATTGTCAGATTCCTGCTCTTATACGATGTGAAGGCCTCTTCAGCTCTAATTCTAGAGAAATGTCTGAAAGGATATTCTTTGAAAAGTGTGCCAATGTCCTGTGTCCAAGGATGTGGATTTGGTGTAGACATTGGTGAGAGTTCTTATTATCAGATGTATATGCATGAGGTCTTTAGTTCATTACCACAGGTGTTGTTTCCTAATTTATTTTAAGTAATCACACAGTTTTTATTTATTTGGTGTTGAACATTTAATAGTGTCCATTTCAATTCCATCACCTTTCACACAATTGTTTGTGAAATTGAGTGACCTTCAATTCAGAATGTCTGGGGCAGTTATGATTCCCTTATTTATTGTAAGTTTATTCTTCTATGACATGAAGATCACTCTGGTTCTAAACTAAGAGCTCTTTCCATGATAGTCCAATTTACAGTTATTCCATTGTCAGGGACTTGGAAAGTTAAGAATCATTTTCAAGACATTTCATTCTCAAAATGGAGGTAATTTCTGTATTTCAACAATAAAATATTTGTTAGTCTGAATGGCATCAAGCAGAGTTCTAGATGGGGTGACAAAATTTATTGACTGGAAGACACCCCTTAACTGAATTCCTGGGAAGGATCTGTGGTGATTTTTGAAGATGACTTGCTGATCACGGATGGTCCTCTCCTGCTGGTCCTGAGTTCATTTCACTGGTCCTGTGTGCCCCCTGGTGGTGCTGAGAACACCTTGCTCTTCCTGAGTGTTCTGTGAGTGCTGGAAAAGTATGGTTGGCCTGAGAGCCTCCTGCTGGTTATGAGCACCTCTGCAGGGAGGATTGTGTCAGGAATCAGACAGCATGCAGGTCACAGTGCTTGGCACAGTATGACACACCACTGTCATTAGCTGTCACAGGGCTCTACTGTAAGAACACTTTGTTCTTGTCTGTTTCCCTGGATTGATGACTCTGGACTGCAAGTTGGGGCTGCAGATAGTTCTCCCTTTACCACAGATCACATTTGTTCACCAAAGGCCTTTCCCTGGTCACAGCTAAACTCATGACACAGAATGTTCTAAGAGTGAGGGTGTGTAGGTACTACAGGAAAAGCTGATCCTCTGACAAGGGACCAAGACTCCCTCCCTCCTTTGCATGTTGTGAACCTTGGCCTGGCCCCTTGGTGACAAGAAGCAATCTTCAGTCACTCAGACACATCCCCTCATTTTTACTGCCCCATTTTGAAATCCATGACACACTCACACTGAATGGATCCACTAGGCAGAAAAGGAGAGAAGGAGAAGCTACGTGGATGTCTGCAGACACAAATAGACACCGTCCACATCATGACACTTCACACTTCCTCTACTCATCCTGTACTCGTGGCCTACTTGCATGGGTGAACTGCCAGGAGCATGAGATGGGCAGGTCATATATGGTAGGTGAGCGCCTCTATGGCTGTCCTGTGGAAGGGGTCACAGAATGGATTCATCTTGTGGGAAGAGGCAGGAAAATTTAGTGTGGTCTAGGCCTGGGATCTGAGGTGCTCTTCTCAGAAAAGTCTCCTTCCTATGCTTTACTGAGTTTTCTAGGGAAATAAATTTTTAATCCATGATATTCTAATGATTTTTTGCAGAAGATAAATTACAGTGAGAGTTTAAAAAGATTTTCCCCCCATTAACAACTAATTAAAACTATATTGTTTATAAATTATGAATAAAACGAGACTATTTCCTTTTTTCATCAAATCCATTCAGAACTCATGAAATATTCATAGATTGACTATTGGATACTTAATTATTGAATAATTCATCTACCTTTTTTTGAAATCTAGATAATCTGCTTTCTAACTGAGCCTGTCTAATGGAAAGTCTTGCACCTGGGCTTTTTAGTTGGTTCATCAAGTTTTTCCTTTCAGACCTGTATTCATTAGTAGTACAAGTGGATTTCATGAGATAATTCCGTGTTATGGTATGTTTTGCTCAAGTGCATACCCTGCATAGAATTCTCTTTAACATCTTGCAAGTTCTTCCTAATTTTCTCTAGTTATTTATCTATATTCTCTGTTAATTTATTCAGATATTTTTAAAGCATTCTTTAAATCATGGATTATTATTTAATAGTTCTTTGTGAAGGATTTCATCTACTTACTCTCATTAGTGTCTCTTTTTGTGCAATTTTTCTTGTTTTGAGGTCTCCTTTTGCCTTATTTTCTAATAATTCCAGTATGTCTGCCTCAGGATATGCAAATAGATTTGTGGTAGGACTTTGCAATGTTTCACACAAGTACCATGAACATAGTTCAGTAGCCAAAGGTTTTCACACCATGCACAAGTCATGGAGCCCATTCACAAGCCCCACAGGAGGGAGGGGAAATCTTCCTGCAAAATGAATTGCATTTGACTGGCACAGCGCTGTTGAAATGCAGTAGTGACCACTAAATACTCACCATCACAACTCCAACACCCTGAGAGGAATTAAGGAACAAAGAGAGGGTGAGGTGAGGAAAAGTGACAGTAGTTAGTAAGTGTAGAGACAGAATGGAAATGGGTGGAATAACATTAGTGAGAAAAGCATATGAAAAAGATGGAAGTATAAATGATAAGTAAATGGAAGGGGTGCAAGAAAAATTACAGAATGAAAAAGATCCAGCTAACAGTAAAGTGAGCAGGAGAAAAATATAATTATGATAATAAAGTCCTGAAGCTGTGAAAATATAACCAAATCTACAACAGATAATTTAGAGACTAGAATGGAGAAAGAAAACACAGGAAAGAAACTGATGTAATTGATGAAATAAAGATAAAAAACTGAAGGGAAAGAGCAAGGAGATGAGGAAGGAGGCAATTGAAAATGTAATATGGAAATCTGGGTGTGGTTTCCATCAGCAGACCCACACCACTGCTTGTCTGGATGAAGAGTCCACAAACATGTTAAATGTGGAAATCATTTCAGGGAAGTAAAAATCAAAGAAAATTTAAATAAATTCTTTAAAACAGAATAAAATTCAAAAGTAATTGAATACATGAATGGACCACTTTGGTTTAAAATGTCCATATAAATAACTGGACAAGTGAATGAAAATTGGGGAAAACAGAAAGGTAATTTTTCTTTGAAATAGAGGTATGAAAGACTTCCAGTCTTCTAATGGTGCCAATCTTGAGAGAACATTCCTGGTTCATATGACACTGGGAATTCCAGGTCATCAATCAGGCAGACTGCACATTTAAGTAAATAAAATCAACAAACAAAAATCAGTAGAATTCTTATCCACTAATTGGATTGCAGGAATTTTAATGGAAATGAATGCCATTTGCAATAGCTGCCGAAACAAACAATACACAGATGTTCACATAAGAAAGTTGGGTCTTACTCTTCATTACATCATAGATTTTCATCACTCAAAGGTTTGGATTTATTTTCTAGGTTCCATGTCAACACAAACCTGGGGGAGGGGAAAGTTTAATATTTTAATGTTATGAGTGGTTGTAAAATAATTAAGCCAGTCTCTGAATGACGAATACTGTACAAGGAACCTATACATGGTGCTAAGAATAGTGAAAATCAGAGACAGGCATTGGATGGTCCTACAGGGCTGGTCAGATGGTGTGGCATGTGTTCCCTTGTGGGCACAGAGTTCTTGTTTGGGAACAGAGAAAGAGTGCAGGTGAAAGTAGGTGGTAGGGAGCCCAGACAGTCTCCATTTGATGTCACCAAAATGCTATTTTGGTAAATTATATGATTTGCACTTTAACACAATTCAAAAAATTGCACCTCATAAATGAAAATTATAAAGAAAAATGCAGGGCCTCCAGAGAATCTACCTTCTTCTGAAACTAGATGATAATAATTTTCCCATTAGAATTCCACCCAAACTTGAGCTGAGAAGGACACCCTCATGCTGCAGTGACAGTCGTGCACTGCTCAGATTTCAGTGCAAGTTGAAAGCTGCACAGTAAACTGTGTCTTTTAGAGAAAGTGGTACAGCAGGACTAGTGTTGTATGACGTCCAGGTGCCACACTGTATGGGTCTCAGAGCCCAAAGAAGCCATCATCTCACCTGCTGTAGAAAAACAGCATTACAGCCCCTGCAAGGGAAAATCGTGGTGGCAACATGGGCACCCATTTTGAAATGTCATTTCCAAGTTTAGCTCCTGAGTAATCTAGGAGAATCGACACAGACCTGAGGCACACTCTGCAGACTTCAGTGATTCACTCTTCCCTTAATATCCAGGCAGCTACAGCCTTGGCTTCCATATAAGGAAGTTGTGTGGTGAAGCCAGTCTGAAAAAGCTCGTCCTGTCACAGTTACCTGAGAATTCCAAACAGATACCATTATTCTTTGTATTTCTATCATATGGTGAAACCTTGTCACTGACATTGCATAGAGTGATGGTGGTGACTTTCATGTCAGCCACTTTCCAGAGGGTTGAAACTATTACCATTTAATTTTTCACATTTAAATTAACTCCACAAATCTATCTTTGTTGTGTGGCCACTAATATCTCTACTCACTTTGCAACATGATTAGCTAATGATTGCACATATAGTGTTTAAATACTTGGTCCAGTACATCTTCAAATTTTTGTAAGAGTTTTAAGTGCATGTTGGGTTTGTGTCTCTCAGCTAGGGAG